TGAACCACCCTGCTTTAAATCATCATAGTTGGACCATCCTACTTTAAATCATCATAGTTGGACCACCATGATATAATTGAACTATATAGAACGTACAGTACAGTCACCAAGAGGAAAGGAACTGTTAAGAGACTGTACAGTATTTATCCTCAAGTAATAGTACATGTACTGCACGTTTTATTCAGGTACAGGCACACATAAATACTGTAAGGATAGACCCTACAAGGGAGGCTCCTTGATGCTGGTGAGGGGCTCTTGATCTAGGGAATTGGATCTGTGCTCCAGTTCCCTGAATTAAGCCTGAATGCCTTCTTCCCCCATCACGGGCACTGTATAATCCCTATGGGGTTAGCCCCCCCCCTTGATTATAATTTATTTATTTATTTATTTATAATTTGAGCACACATACAGAGGTACAAAAAACACAGATAAGAGCAGCATGCCAAAGCCACTTATACTATGCATAGCATTACGGGCTGGCTTAAAATTAACTTAAGATTAACTAAGCAATGATGAAATCAGTGAAAAACATTAATGTAAACAGATTACTATAAAGCACAAGTGAGTATTACAAAGACAGATCCTATGGTTGCATGCATTGTTGTACATTCAGTCGTATGGAGTATTCTGTTAGGTAGTGTATTTAAAAAATAATAAAGTTAGATTGGGTTTTAGGTTTAACATTTATGTGATATAATTGTGAGAAACATTTAAGATATACAATTTATAAGGTTCAGTTATTCAGTATTTATTTGGTTTTGGGTGAGTAAGTGATCTTTGAGAAGAGACTTGAATTTATTAAAAAACAGGTAGTGTTTCTTTTATATTTACAGGTAATGAATTCCAGATTTTAGGGCCTTTTATGTGCATTGAGTTTTTGCATAGCGTGAGATGGACACGAGGAATATCAAAGAGTGATCTGTGCCTTGTGTTATGGTCATGTGTTCTGTTGAGGTTGGCAAGGAGATGTTTGAGGGGAGGGTTAATATCAGAGTTGAGTGTTCTATGTATGTAATAGGTGCAGTAATAAGTATGGATGTTTTGTATGGTGAGTAGGTTGAGTGTATTGAATATTGGTGGAGTGTGCTGCCTGTAGTGAGAATTTGTTATCATTCTAACTGCAGCCTTTTGTTGGGTAATTAGTGGTCTGAGATGGTTACTTGTTGTTGAGCCCCATGCACAAATTCCATAGGTGAGATAGGGGTAAATAAGAGAGTGATATAGGGCCAGGAGGGCTGACTGTGGAGCATAGTACCGTATCTTCGATAGTATGCCTACAGTCTTGGAAATTTTCTTAGAAATTTGTTGTATATGTGTATGAAATTTGAGTCTATTATCAAGGTGGATTCCTAAGAATTTTCCCTCTGTTAGCTTTGTGATAGGTGATCCGTTTATCATTATGTTAAGAGGGACATCTGTAGCTCTGTTACCAAACTGAATGAAGTAGGTTTTGTCAATGTTTAGTGTAAGTTTGTTAGTACTCATCCAGGTAGATATTTTCTGTAATTCGGTATTTACAGTATTGGCTAGCGTGACTGGGCTCGGGTGGGAGAAGACGTATGTTGTGTCATCAGCAAATAGTGTGGGTTTGAGTAATTGCGAAGCATTTGGTAGGTCATTTATGTATAGGAGAAAGAGAAGAGGGCCAAGGACACTTCCCTGTGGGACACCAACTGTAATTGGTTGTGCAGAAGAGTTTGCCCCATTTGCGTACACATATTGGCTTCTGTTGCTGAGGTATGACTTGAGGTAGTTGAGGGAGTGCCCTCTTATACCATAGTGTGACAATTTTACGTGGAGCAAGTCATGGTCAACTGTATCAAAAGCTTTACGTAAGTCAATGAAGATCCCCAGTGGGACTTCTTTTTTCTCTATTGCAGTGTATATATGTTCTAGCATGTGTATAATAGCATCATTAGTATTTTTATTAGGCCTGAATCCAAATTGGCAGGGGTTGAGTATGTTTTGGGAGATAAGGTAGGAGTAGATTCGTTTATGAATTAATTTTTCGAAGATTTTTGAGAGAGGGTGTAAGTTGGATATTGGCCTATAGTTATTCAACTCTGTTTGGTCTCCTCCTTTGGGGATCGGGGTGACCCTTGCTATTTTGAGTACTGTATGGGAAGGTGGAGGATTCAATGGATTTGTTAAAGAGTGTTGCAATGATTGGTGATAGCACTTGTGACACTTTTTTGTATATAAAGGGTGGTAAGGTATTTAAATCTCCTGCCTTGTTTTTTAGTGCGTTGATAATAAGGGAGACTTCGTATGGGTTAGTCGGAGCTAGGAACAGTGTGTTCGGGTAGTTGCCGGTGAGGTAGTCATTTGGTGGGGTATCTGAGCTTGGGATTTTATTGGGAAGGTTTTGTCCTATAGTGGAGAAGAAATCATTGAGTCTGTTTGCTGTTTCTGTTGGTGGGAGTTGGGGTTCATCTGATTTTGCTAATTTTATTTCGCTATTTCGTGATATCTTTTTTGTTCCCAGAATTTCTGATAGGGTTTTCCAGGTCTTTTTTATATCACCTCGTAAGTTGGATAATCTGTTCTCATAATACAATTTTTTTGCCCTTCTTATCAGGCTGGTTAGGATTGACGAGTAACGTAACAAGTAATGTAACGATAGTAATCAGCATGTACATATATTGAATAACTGACTGTCTAATGTACGACACTTTAGCACTTTATTTTATAATAATAATAATAATGTGCAATACATAAATTTATTAAAAGTGTACTGTATAACACCTGAAATTGACTGTCATGTACATACGTAACATGCATAGCATGAAAAATTGAATATTTTCCCCACAGTAACCCATTAAACATTTTTGAGCTTATATTATATTTTTTTTAAGAAAAATCAGTTTATTACTTTTTTTGGGTGGGTCTTCGGGAATTGCAATAAACCCCTACAAAAGAAAAACGGTTACAAAAATTAAATTCAGAAAATTTTTCTATGGGTGTGTTTTAGTTCAAGTTATTTTTTCAAAAGAAAAAAGAGCAATCTGGATGGTACAATCCCAAAATAACCCTACCTTTGGGCCTGGGGGCCCTGGTGGTTAACGCTCTCGCCCCCCGGTGGGGGCCTGGGTTCGATTCCCACCGAGTAGAAACATTGGACTGTTTCTTTCCCCCTGTTGTCATTTTCCCCCATCGTAAAATGGGTACCTGGGTGTTAGTCGATGGTGTGGGTCGCATCCTGGGCATTGACCAAAGGGGGCCGGGTCACGACCGGGCCGCGGGGGCTTGCCCCCCCGGAACTCTCCCCAGATAGGGAGAGAATTTATGACAATGTTTCAGCCAACTTTTTTTAATTTTTCTTTATTGCCCCAATTATTTTCCCTCCTTATGGATGAGTTTCATTTTTACTCATTGGGTAACTAGTAAAATAAATTGTTGAAATAATTTTCAGGTTGACCATTTTTCTTGTTAAAAAATTTGAACTGTGTCCTGTCTTGCATCTTTTTTTTTCTTTAAAAAGCACTTTTTACTCATACAACAATCCCATTACCCATCTATTACACAAATTTTCTTTTTATGGGAATCATTTTTGCATCAAAAATTTGTTTACATTTTTTATTTTCCGAAAATCATTCAGAGAGTATGGATGCCCTTTCTGCTGGTTAAGGGCTTTAAACCAAGGAACTGGAAATGCCCTTCCCTTTTAAGATCAAGCCCGTGATCTGCCATTTCCCAGGCATTTGTATGACCCCCATTGGGTTTTTTGCTTTTACATGACTATAATAAAACGTAATTTGAAAGTCTCTACTAAAATTAAAACAGGGTTTCGGTTATTTAAAAATTTCAACCCCATATTTTGTTCTTTATTAAAACAAGAAACAAAAAGAAAAGCTAATAAATTTTTTTTGATCTATACACAACTTAGTTTTTTTTAAATTTTTTTTATATATAACTTAGTGTAAATTAAATAAGATAAATCAATTACCAAAGGGTAATTTTTTTGGGTACAGTATAGTTAAGTTTCCCCAAAGCCTGCTTATGTTTTGTTTTTTTCTTCATTCTTGAAAATTTTTAGTGTTTTAGTTACATTAACCATAATTCAAGGCTCTAACTTTGATACTTTGTTTTAGATATAAGAGAGTTGAATTATGACTCAAGTTTATTTATTATGGTGGTTTATGAAATGGCTGAGACACAGGTTATTATTTTGTTAAAAATGTTTTTTACAGTCTGAATTTTCTGTGGTGCTAATAATTTCTTAGACAGACCCCACTTCTACTTTCCCTACATCTTCCCCTCCATTCTTCTACTATTGCCTCCCTTCACCCTTCACTTACCTTTCTCTTGTGCCACTAAGCTACTCTCCCTACTTTTCTACCACTATTTCTGAAATATTCTGACAGCTCACACACACAGGCATACTGAGTCTGTGATGTCATGGCTAGCAAGCATTTGAAACATGCTGACATTTCTTTTACTATTACTACCACTACCTACCTTACCACTACTTCCTCTTCTCCCTCTCTTGTTCCCATCCTTGTCCTGCTTTCCTATATATATTGGCTGCCTCACTCTTGTCTGTTAGTGTGACTTTGTAAATGGTCTAAGATGGACTGAAAGTTCATAAGCTCCTCTCTCCTATGTGTGGGTTATTTATGTATACTGTACCATATTTCATTTTATATCATTTATTTCTTTATTAATTCATTTTATTGTCTTAACTTTTTTTAGAAATAGTTCTGTTTTTTTTTTTTAATTAATGTACACATTTCCTCACCCCCATAGAATGGGAAACTAAAATGCTGATTTTTTCTTCCAGAAACTTCATTCATCAAAATTGATAGTCAAAACTTGCCTCTAAAGATGACTGAGATATCTCTGGTTGCTTATTGTGACTGTCGTGTTAGCTCTGTGCTGGGCAAGAACACTCGTGAGCTTGGTAAGCAGCACCTTTTTGATGGCTCCCCTGAGAGCTGTTGGAACAGTGATCAAGGAACACCTCAGTGGGTTGCTTTGAGATGGAAGGAGCCAGTTGTTGTTACTGCCATCATTGCTCAGTTTCAGGTGAAGTAATAACACATGTAATGTTAATCTAAGAAGCAGTATTTAAGTGTAAATCAAAATTAAAAGATATTTTGATTCATGTAGGAAGAGAGGTAAGGGATAAAATGCTAAGGTATAAAACTATATTAGGAGAAATTATGTAAACATAAAGATACAGTATGGTATTTCTTAACTATCAGGTTTAAAATATTTGAAGAGCTCAAATAAGACCCCTCAAGAGACATTCCTTGATGCTAGTGAGGGCCTCTTTATCCAAGGAATGGAACTTAGCCTCCACTTCCTTGGGTTGAACCCGATTACCTCCCATTTCCCAAATGCTGTGTTATTTCTAAAAGTTTAGCAATTTCCCCTAAATATAATGATAATTTTTAAACTATCCATCTCTTGCTGAGGAAATGCATATATCATCATTCATTCAATCACTATCTTGCTAGAAGTATGCTGACATTACATTTCAGATGGCCCTCCAGATTACAATATCCTCATTCCTCTTTTTAGAGTGCAGGCACTGTACTTCCCGCCTCCAGAACTCGAGTCTAGCTAACCAGTTTCCCTGAATCCCTTCATATATGTTACCCCTGATCACACTTAATGGCATCTCAGGTTGCAGAAACCACTTGCCTCCACTCAGTCAAATTTAGTCATGCTCACAAAAGCCTGTTTGATATTCAAGCCCCTAGCACTCAAAACCTCCTTTACCCCGTCCCTCCAGCCTTCCCTGTGATGACCACTACCTCCTCCCTCATAAAGATATCGATCTGCTTTAAGTAACCTACCAACTATTCCATACACTTGCAACATCTGCCACATTGGTCCCCTATCCACCCAATCTTATGTCTTTTCTAAATCCATAAATGCAACAAAAACTTTTACCTTTAAGCACTGTTCGCTTATATGCTTCAGTTTAAACACTTACTTTATACATCCAATACTCTTCCTAAAACATCCTTGTTCATTTGCAATCCTGCTCTCTTACCATTAATTCTTTCAGTAATAAACTCTACCATACATTTTAACTGGTATACTAAACAGGTTTATTCCCCTATAATTCTTACACTCTTTTATCCACTGTTTCTGTATACAAAGGAACTGTGCATACTCTATTTCAATCCCTACGTAGGTACTTATATATAAAGTATATAAGATGTTTTATGTGCAATGGGCTTGGACATACATCAAGTGTGTGAACATGTTAGATAGGAGTGAATAGAGACTAATGGTTTTTGGGACTTGACGAGTTGTTGGAGTGTGAGCAGGGTGATATTTTGTGAAGGGATTCAGGTAAACCGGTTAGCGGGACTTGAGCCCTGGAGGTGGGAAGTACAATGCTGCACTTCAAAGGAGGGATTTAGGATATTGGATGTCTGGAGTGACATCTGAACTCGCCATCTTCCACCGAGGCTGGGTGACCCAAAAAAAGACACTCACCATCATTCACATTATCACTGTCTTTGCTGTTTGGAGTGACATCTAAACTGTCGTATCTGAGCACCTTTGCCAAGACTGATTATACGTGAATGATGGTGAAAGTGTTGAATGATGGTTAAAGCGTTTCTTTCCTTTTTGGGTCACATTGCCTCAGCGGGAGATGGCCGATGTGTTGAAAAGAAAAAATCTAGCCTTTCTTAACCTGTCTTTTAATGTGAACTTATTGGTTCATAAGGTGACCTCTTGCTGTGCCTGTAAAATCCTCTTTTCTCCCAAGAGATATTCTAAGTCACCCATTTAACCATTTGGAATCATTTTTTATCTGACCTAATTTCTCTGGAGACTGGATATACTTTTAGCACATTGTGTTAGTGTTTGTAAGATCTTCATTACAAGAATCACTGGGCAGATATCTCTCCTAGTTAATGCTAGATAGATATTCTCTAAGTCCATTATGATCTGCAGAATGGAACTCTGGGACCCTTATTGTATTACCTTTCCAGCTAATATTAAATTAATAGATTTGTGATGATTGGCACCATGCTCTTTTGTGATCTCTAGATTATTTAACGAGTTTATTTTCGACTTTCAGTAACATAAACATTGCACACAGGGTGGATTCTGTGGGTCAATAGACACGGTAGTGGAGGTTGGGCAAGATGGTAGTACCAGTTGGGAGGAACTAACACCTTGGCATCTGGAGGATGTGGGTACTGAGCAAATCCTTCGTCTGCTGCAGCCTTGTTCCCTCTCGAGCCTTAGACTAAATTTTAAATCTTCTACAGACTTTCATGGCAGAATCATCATGTATAAGTTGGATGTATTAGGGAATAAAATATGAGAGAAAATTTTGTTTTATTTATTTACACTACTTTTTTCATGTTATAACAAATGTAATATGGCAGTTTTATGCACCTTTCTTTGGTAGATTTAGGGTATGAAATCCAGTAAAATATTGTATTTGGATCAAGAGCCCAAGGACATGAAAGAAAATCAGATTACATATAGTAAAAGTAATTACAGAAAAATTTCTCCATTGCTCCTATATGATCTGACTAAATATTATAGTTAGGGGAAGCACTAAACTCTTAAGAGTTGTACAGCTGCTTGGGATTGAGAGGCAATCTGGCTTGATCCAAGGAAGTGGAAGACTATTCTAATTCCTCAGATTAAGAGCCCTTCATCAGCATCGAGGAACCTGCCTTATTCACATTATAAGCAAACAAAATACTACAGACAAGGCTTGGGAGAACCCTACAATATTTCCTCTATGATGTTACACTGGGAATTGGGTAATCTAGAAAGTGGTACTGTGGGAGACAGCCAGTGTGTGAAAAAAAAAGTCCGGCAATTGGAAAATGTGGACGAGTTCGTCAAAAAAGTTACTAGAGTACAGCGTCTCCTCACTTAACGACGGAATTCCATTCCTGAGGCCATGTCGGTAAACAAATGCATCACTAAGCAAGGAGCTTACTATAATGGTAGTGGGTTTGTGTCAACCATCTTTGATATTATTTTAATGTCATCTTTGCATCATTTATAACATTTCTAGCATATTTTTAAATGTTTATACAGTAATGTACTGTATACTGTAATAAACAGAAAAGAGGAAATCAGCTCTAATATACATTTAGGTATGCATACTAGTCAGAAAGCCCATTGTAAGTCTGAATCGGCAGTAAACGAGTACATCACTAAGTGAGGAGAGGCTGTAGTTTACAGTACATGGACATAAGCAGGGTTATAACTAATGAATAAATATATACAGGAATATAAGCAATATAAAAAGCATTTCTGTACAAATCATTCAAGAAGAGTAACTTCTTGTTAAAAGGCTCTTTGTCTAAGGACTTGGAGTTACTCATCATTTCCTTGAATCAGATCAGACTCCTATTTCCCAGATGCTGTATGACCCCCCTGTGGGCTTAAGAGCTTCCCATCAATATGCAATATTTACTACATACACTACTTGATATACAGCAGCAGATTGATTTTTGCAATTTGCTCATTGAAGCTCATACAAATACAGTAGTAATAGGAAACAAATTAAAGCACAGCTAAAATGTCTGAGGCTTATCCCATTTGCTTAAATATTTGGCACTCTATATAGTAAGACAGCAAGCAATTGCCAACAACTTCAGGGGCAATGGATGCGAATGTAGTATTCACTTTAGAACACTTTTATTGAAGGCATTTTGGTCCTTGGACTTTCATCACCTCAAATACATGAGTATAAGAGGAGCACTACAATTCTTGCAATAAAAACAATGATCATAGGCCTACCTGAGAGCTCTATATATCTCTAGCCCTAAGTTCTTGGAAGAAGAATGCACCTATATTCGATAGAGATTTACTCATCTTCACTTCCCTTCTCATTTTATCTAGGACTGCAGATAGAGTACAAACCTGTCTACACAATCCACCAACTGTCAAAGATAACCAAAAAATATCTGGTGTTACTTTGCAGTAATGTTGGTACACATACCACGAGTTCTTGCCAAAAGTAACAGCCAGATCGCCATTACTTCCACCACTTCAATTGGTGACTTCACCCAGAAAAAGTCTCTGTTTAATGTTTCCTTTAAGGAAATATTGGTATACACAATCCTTTGGGAATTATTTTTTTATTTTTTTTATTATCACACTGGCCGATTCCCACCAAGGCAGGGTGGCCCGAAAAAGAAAAACTTTCACCATCATTCACTCCATCACTGTCTTGCCAGAAGGGTGCTTTACACTACAGTTTTTAAACTGCAACATTAACACCCCTCCTTCAGAGTGCAGGCACTGTACTTCCCATCTCCAGGACTCAAGTCCGGCCTGCCGGTTTCCCTGAATCCCTTCATAAATGTTACTTTGCTCACACTCCAACAGCACGTCAAGTATTAAAAACCATTTGTCTCCATTCACTCCTATCAAACACGCTCACGCATGCCTGCTGGAAGTCCAAGCCCCTCGCACACAAAACCTCCTTTACCCCCTCCCTCCAACCCTTCCTAGGCCGACCCCTACCCCGCCTTCCTTCCACTACAGACTGATACACTCTTGAAGTCATTCTGTTTCGCTCCATTCTCTCTACATGTCCGAACCACCTCAACAACCCTTCCTCAGCCCTCTGGACAACAGTTTTGGTAATCCCGCACCTCCTCCTAACTTCCAAACTACGAATTCTCTGCATTATATTCACACCACACATTGCCCTCAGACATGACATCTCCACTGCCTCCAGCCTTCTCCTCGCTGCAACATTCATCACCCACGCTTCACACCCATATAAGAGCGTTGGTAAACTATACTCCCTTTGGGAAGTGTGACAATATTTATGTGTGGGAAACTGGAGAGAATTTATGAACATAAAGCCTGCAGCAGAGATGAAAGAAACAACAATTGTATGATACAACAAAACACCAAGGAATATATCTGTATTGTCAAGATTTATTGGTAACAGATTTAAGGCAACAAAGGTGCCTTGAAGCTTCATTCATCGTCACCTTTAGCACCATCATTCTTTTAAAAAACTGACAGTTATATTTCCACATTGGCCAATATGATATTAGAAAAAACTGAAATAGCCAAAAGATAAACCCTTCTCTACTTCAGGTGCCCATCTAACTACTGCTATCAGTTACTATTAATAATGCCACCATCACCACACTACTACTACTACTCTCTCCTGTGGGTACAAACAGGAAGAGCATCTTGCCCTCAACAGACAGAGGATTGAACTTCCACCATGTCTTGCACTGAATGATCTAAATGGGTTTAGCACCTAACATGAATTATTTATTTTATTTATCTTGCCCCTATATATAGCCCCTCCTTATGTATCAGAAGTGATCAAAGTCCAAGGGCCAAAACATTTTCGATAAAAGTGAGTCCTAAGTGAATAAGTGCCAATGGAAATGAACACAGTGTTACACATCATACATACCGAATGAAGACAAGCCTGAATATAGGCTTTCATAGTTTCACTGTTTCACTGTTTACTACGAAAGGATAATGCACGCAGCCACCCCCACATGTTGGCCAGGATCCCCTTGTGTTTTCTGGGCTGTTTCCATATACCCAACTGTCTCCTCTCTGCATACTCCTGAGCTCGAAGGAGCCTTTTATAGTGTTTAACATAGAATGGGTCATTGTATAGCTTGAGTTCCATGGGCCCTGTTAATGCCAACCCACTGCGCACCAGTTGTTCGTTTACACTCCTCTCGAATACCTGCAACAAAACATTATTATTATTATTTCCACTGATGACAACACAGTAGCCGATTAACACATTTATGGGAGTGTGTTGATACATCAGTCATTTTTTCTAAGAGTTTTTATGTAAAATCGGTTTACAGATAAACTCATTTGGATTTTGTAATAGCACGAATGCATATCTCTGATATTTTATTTGATATTTAACCTTCCATAATAGAATTTGGAGGTAAAAATTAAAATTGTCTGAAGTATCACATGTGGTGCAATCAAATTTGAGAACTGATATAGAAGAAGTTCTGATTCCATGATAAAAGCAATTGTTAACATTTATATTACAGAAGTTAAAATTCAATTGGAAAAAATAATGTAACTGCAGTAAACTTCTTTCTTCTCTCAATAAACCTGTCTTATCCCACTGAAGCAGGGTGACCTAAAAAAGAAAAACGGAAGTTTCTCTTTTTAACTTTAGTGATGTATACAGGAGAAGGGGTTACTAGCCCCTTGCTCCTGGGATTTTAGTCGCCTCTTACAACACGCATGGCTTACAGATGAAGAATTCTGTTCCACTACCCCATGGAGAAAATGTAGTAAACATGTTGAATTATTAGAATCTATAATTAGATACTGAAACTTAATTGCTAATCTAAATCTTGTACTTGCACATAATTCAAAGTCATAAAATGAATTTATTTTAAAATTTTGTTTTATTAACCACATAAGGTAAGAATAAGTCTTTTAGGGTATGATGAAGCTCACACTTAAGAGAAACTCTAGGGGTGCAGAATATCTCAATGGCAAGATTGCTCTGGTCATAGTGAAAAGTCACATTAGAATCCTGGGTTGCAAAAATTTTTTTTTTTTTTTTACCTCAACAGCAGTCTCTTGCCGACGAAGGGTAACCAAAGAAGAAAACACATTCATGAAATATCTGTCTTACCAGAAGTGTACTGACATAATTTAGATTACCCTCCACCTGCACCATCACCACTCTTCAAGTGTGCAGGCACAGCACATTTTTTTCTTTTACACTTGCTGCCCCAGACTACCTGGCAATGAAAATAGGCATCTGTGTGTTAGCCAATTGTAACAGGGCATACCCAGTGAAAATTTAAGAAACTCCAGTCCTGTTGGAAGTGATGTCCTGGGAAAAATGCCAGTTTGTAGGAAAGCTCCTGTATTTAAGTACTGAGTTAAAGATATCCACATAATGTGGTGCATCTAAAGATGTTAAAAAATATGAAATGGTGCAATAAAGGTTTCTTTAGTTTTTTTTTTTTTTTTTACTGATTACAGGTAGGTATTGGTATGAGATCCCAACACAGTGGTAGACACATGCAGTTACTGTAAATGAAACTTTTATAGATAATATTTTTCCCATTTACGTAATGGGCTTTAAAGTTTGACATGATAAAGCCCACTGTGGGCAAAACATCAATAAAGGTTCCTCATAACTAAATTCATGTCTTTTTTGCTACTCCTACCTTGATGCTAGTGAGAGGCTCTTAATCCAAGGAGCTGACTTATCCTCCAATTCCTTGGATCAAACCTGAATGCCTTCCATTCCTCAGGCACTATATAACCCTTATGGGTTTAGCTCTTCCCCCTGATTAAAAAAATTAATTTGCTACTCCTTACATTTAATTTACTTCAAGTGCATTGATACCGATTGAGGATGCTAGATCCAAGGAATGAAAACTACTTTCCCCTTGGATCAAACCTGTTTACCTCCCATTTCCCAGGCACTGTATGACCCCTGCATGTTTAACACTTCTCCATGAACATAACTAATTTCATTTAGTTGAAGATATCTTTCATTCAACAACATTTACCCTTAAATACCTCCAGCAGGTCTGGAATTTCTCTCAAATCTGCACAGCAGTTTTTTATTGGATGTGAACGACAGTAAATGATACCATGGGAGGCTTGAGAAGTTTTATGTAGAGGCAGTAGTCTGGTTGGATGAGGAGGGGGACATGTCTTGAAGCAGCATTAGATTTTTATTGGGGGTTGTGGAATTTTGAAGTGCTTCACCTCCCCCTTAGTCCTGCCACTGGATAACACACAGATACAGTACCTATGTAAAATGCAAGTGCACTAAAGTTTAGCACATGAACCTTGGCTGGTTTGATTAGAGAGAGGAGTGTATGGTTGTGGGTGTTATGGGCGAGGAGGGTGAACCAGGCTCTCTGTCCAACTAGTTGGGCTTGTGCACTCATCACTCCTGATCCTGTCACCTGAAAGATAAAGTAAAGTACATATAATATATAATATATGAAGGGATTCAGGGAAGCCGGCAGGCCGGACTCGAGTCCTGGAGATAGGTAGTACAGTGCCTGCACTCTGAAGGAGGGGTGTTAATGTTGCAGTTTTATAACTGTAGTGTAGGCATGCCTCTGGCAAGACAGTGATGGAGTGAATGATGGTGAAAGTTTTTCTTTTCCGGGCCACCCTGCCTCTGTGGGAGACGGCCGATGTGTTAATAAAAAATAATAATAATAATAAACTTTCAGCAAGTATGCGTGAGCATGTTAGATAGGAGTGAATTTAGACGAATGGTATTAGGGACCTGATGAGCTGTTGGAGTGTGAGCAGGGTAATATTTAGTGAAGGGATTCAGGGAAACCAGTTACATATTTTTTATATACCCAGACTTGAGTACTGGAAATGGGAAGTACAATGCCTGCACTTTAAATGAGGGGTTTGGGATATTGGCAGTTTGGAGGGATATGTTGTATATCTTTACATGTATATGCTTCTAAACTGTTATGTTCTAGGCACCTCTGCAAAAACAGTGATTATGTATGAGTGAGGTGAAAGTGCTGAATAATGATGAAAGTATTTTCTTTTTGAGGATTTTTTCTTTCTTTTTGGGTCACCCTGCCTCGGTGGGAGACGGCCAACTTGTTAAAAAAAAAGATACCTAATACATATATTACAAGAACCCCGATGTAATTACGTATATCACTTTCTCTAACTTTTTTTGTGTTATCCTAGGTAATTTACACATATGCTACTATGTATGAAAATTGTAGCCACCTAATTTAAGTACTTATGTGTACTTGTGCATAAATAAACTTATTACAATTTATAACTTTATTAGTTGCAGCTCCATAAAATCATATAACTCAACTAACTGTTCTACAGTTGTTAAGTGTGCCGCTATATATCCACCACTTTGGTGCAAAAAAGTTACACATCTTGAGAAAATAGTGGTCTCATTACTGCCTTGTAATAATTATATCACGTTTTACAACATCTGTACATTTTAAATTTGTTTGTTAGTGCACTCTATTTAAATGACATTTCAACAATCTTCCAAAAAAAGAAACTATATTCTTAGGCACACTTTTATAAAACTCAATTCCATATTTTACCCAGTTCCATTGCTTTAATTTACATTCATCAATAATGTTTTGTCTTCCTCTCGTGAATATATGTGGCAGTTTTAGAGCTACTGAGTGAAGAATTTTACTAATTTTCATAAACTCTCGCCAAAATATGAGAAAAATTAACACAATCGCTAAAATAAAAGGTTAAGATTACCAAAAGCCAAGGAAATTTCTTAATTATTTCTGTGAAAATTTAAAAATAAGAGTATTTGCTCAGGCATTTTCACTTTTAAATAATAAATTTACATTTAAAAAGTTTATTACCTCCACATCTGCCAGTTGTAGATTCAGCGGCTGATTACTTTTCTTGTGCCAAAGAGCAATGACTGGAGTGTGTTCCACCTGTTGGAAGAGAGATAATTACAGTATTATTATTTATGTGAGTCAATAAATCTGTGTGGGTCATTCAACACAATGAATGATGCAACCTCCATCCTCAATCTGCCAGTCACAGCACAGAGTTATTTAGGTACAATTACACACAACGTTTTAGGTGATTATAATTATTTTGGATAATCCTAGTCCAATAAGAGTTTATCAAGGCTTCAGATACATAATTTTAAACTTTTACCATGTTTTATAAAGTAAATTATGTGGAACTGAACCTGGAATAACCCCAGAAAATACAACAATGTGACTCATTTTCTGTGGGATCCTTAAAGTTTTGTTTTAGCATAGACATATACTATGTCATTTTATCCTTTATCCTTAGTATGTTAATAAGAGTAAATTATTATAAGAACAAAAGTAAGATAAGATACTGCTTGGTTACGAACTGGGGGGGAGGGAGGTAGTAACCCAATAAAATCCATCAATCAGGGACAGTCAGTTTTATTTCCAATGGAGTCCTTTAATCCTCTCTCCCAGGATGCAACCCATAACAGCTGACTAACACCCAGTTACCTACTTACTACTATGTGAACAAGGGCATTATGTGTAATGAAACATGTCCAACCCATGCCAGGGAGCGATCCTCAGGCCCTCAGTGTGTGAGCTAAGAATGCCATCAACCGAACCTTGTGAACCCATTATACATAAAACATCAAAAACAAATTGTAAATATTTCATTCATCAATATAAGAAATCACTATCTTTCTTTACTGCAGCTTCACTCATAATATATTCTTTGGCTCTAGTTTTAAACTGATTTGTATCAAGACTGGTCTTCACATAATCTGGTAGCCCATTCCAGATTATTATTGCTGTGTAATACAGTTTGAGATCTGATCACCTATTGTGGGTGCTACAATACTGTCTTGATTTCCCTTAATATCATACTAGCCTTGGTTTCTGCTGTATTACCCTCATGAGTTTACCATTTTTTAAACACAATAATAATGGCCTTGTTTTCTAAGTTTTACAAAATTTGCAGCAAGATATTCTAGACACTGGTTCTTCGCAATTTTGTATAAAACTAAAGTTATTTATTTAGGTACAGGTACACATAAGTACAATTATCATACCTAGTAACATGTGTAAATTACCTAGGATAATAAATTAAATAAAAAAGTCAAACACAGTGACTTATTTCCATTGGGGGGTCCTTGGGTTTTATCTGGTTCACTCTTTCTGTCATTTTAAGATTTTCCAGCTTTTTTAATTCATATATTAAAGTGTTTGTAAATATATTCAATACAGATGTAAGAAGGTTTTATTTGAATTATTTATGCAGAGGGTTAGTAACCCAAGATAACCCATGAAAGTCACTTAGTCTGGCTTATTTCTTTTGGGATCCCTAGGGTATGACTTCCAAAATACTTGAATATTGAACATATATATAGAATAGTAAGTAATTTTACGAGATATGTGCTACAGAAATTGATGCCTACCTGAAGAAAAAGTGGAAGAAAATCCTCGTCACATAATATTCTAGAATCATTGTTGTCTTTCCATGGGCGCAGCGCCCCATCTTGATTTTCTTTAGTTTGCGCTGCACCCACGAGCAAGTTCTCTCTTGTCATGTTATCTTTGGTAGAAAACGGGGAAGTTATGGATCCATTTTCTGTGGGGGAGAGTTTAGCGTGGCTGACGCTGCTGGATGAAGCAGCACCATTTAGTGGCAGTGCTGCCAGGGAAGTGGAAGATGTTGTTGGTGGTGTGGTGCCCACCCACTTAACGTGACCGTGGAGTCGCACGTGCTTCCGTATAAATTCTTCCGGGATGTCCTGAATGCGTGTAAACTTCGTGAACTGGAAAAACTCAAAGTGTCAAGAGTTAGCTCTAATCTAAATTTTACACGAAGTTTACTTAGGTACAGGTACATAAGTACAATATCATATATACATGGAGTGTGTTCCGGGGGTCAACGACCCCCGGTCCATGACCAGGCCTCTGCATAGTAACGTGTAAATTGCCAAGAATAACCCCCCAAAAATCAAATTTACTTATTTCCATTGGTGTCCTAACCTGAAGCCGTTTAGGCACAGTGCTTAACTTAAATAAAAGGTAAAAGTTTACCAGCCTCTCCGTCAAGCCATTAGAGATGATTAGACAGTCATGTGTAACAGGCGGCTCCAGAATTTCTCTATAGGAGGGGCTTAGGGTTCTAATCTGAGCTGAGTTATTACTAATTTTAGTTGGAGGCCGATGATTACTACGAGGGGTTTCAGCCCCCCTTTGGCGCCACCACCTATTTGGAAAATCTACTTGTATGTCAAAACTTGCTCTTCTCATACTGGTACTCTGGCTCCCTCTGGCTACCCATTTTCTACCTAAAACGAAGAACAAATATAAAACCTCCCAATACACACGCATTGATACACAAATATAATAAATAACTGTATTAATACGCGTACCCATGAATTCAAACAGTTGTGCACCAAGGAACTAGCACACGGGAATGCAATCATTCACACGGGAAATAAGTCATGCACACGGGAACAAAATTACGCACACAGGAACACCAATAATCACGCACAAGACATTCTTATTCACTCACTCTCACACACTCTCACACACTCTCACACTCTCACAGGAGCTAGGACTCGACCCCTGCAACCACAAATAGGTGAGTACACTCTCACACACTCTCACACTCTCACACACTCTCACACACTCACACACTCACACTCTCACACACTCTCACACACTCACACTCTCTCACACTCTCACACACTCTCACACACTCTCACACTCTCACACACTCTCTCACACTCTCACACACTCTCACACACTCACACACTCTCTCACACTCACTCTCACACTCTCACACACTCTCACACACTCACACTCACTCACACACTCTCTCACACTCTCTCACACTCTCTCACACTCACACTCACACACTCTCTCACTCTCACACATTCACACTCACACTCACACTCACTCACTCACTCACTCACTCTCTGTATACAGATATAAAAAACAAAAGCTCATATATTAAGAAATATACTAACCGCACGAGCGCTATGTAGCACCAGAAGTACTCCTGTGGCAGCACAACAGTAGATACCATACTGTAAGATACAAACATGGCTTTTATCAACAAGGTTGTATACTAATTGATGGTATGGGAATACAGATAAGTTATAAATGATAGATAAAAAAACAGAAATTTCAAAATTAAGACTGTTTCGCAAGACTCCCAGATCTTTTATATTAGAGCGAGAAACTAATGTAAAAGACCTGGGAGTGATCATGTCAGAGGATATCACCTTCAAAGATCATAACATTGTATCAATCGCATCTGCTAGAAAAATGACAGTATAGATAATGAGAATCTTCTAAACTAGAGATGCCAAGACCATGATGACACTCTTCAGGTCGCTTGTTCTATCCAGGCTGGAATATTGCTGCACACTAACAGCACCTTTCAAGGAAGGTGAAATTGCTGACCTAGAAAGTGTACAGAGAACCTTCAGGGCACACACACAACTGCGATAAAACGCCTCAATTACTAGGAACGCTTGAAGTTCCTCAACCTGTACTTTCTAGAACGCAGGCGGGAGAGATACATCATTATATATACTTGGAAAATCCTAGAGGGATTAGTACCAAACTTGCACACGAAAATCACTCTCTATGAAAGCAAAAGACTCAGCAGACGATGCAACATCCCCCAATGGCGCCATTAGCACCATAAGAGACAACACAATAAGTGTGAGGGGCCCAAGACTGTTCAACTGCCTCCCAGCATACATAAGGGGGATTACCAATAGACCCCTGGCTATCTTCAAGAAAACGCTGGACAGGCACCTAAAGTCAGTACCTGACCAGCCGGGCTGTGTTTCGTACGTCGGGTTGCGTGCGGCCAACGATAACAACCTGGCTGATCAGGCTCTGATCCACCATGAGACCTGGTCACAGACCGGGCCCCGGGGGCATTGGCCCCCAAAACCCTCTCCAGGTATACTCCAGTGCAATAAGAGTTTTCGAATTCAGTAGTCAATACTTGCTAAGATGTGTCCCCCAAATACTACTACTGTGTATTAATCAAGTACGAGACTACATACACCAAGAAGTGTATATCATTCAATGTATGTGTATCCTGAAAAGTTACAGAATCAAAGGCGTCAATAGATATCTACCCTCTACCAGGATACACAGCAATTCACAACTGCAGACCAAACCAAGTTGGGGGTGGTATTGCAATCTATTACTCTAACCAATTATCTTGTATTAGCACCATTTGCTTTAGTGATGAATATGGGGAATACATTTTTGCTAATTTTACTGTAAAAAAACTTAAGACGCCTATAACAATCGGTGCCATTTACCGGATACCTCACACAAACATCCCAAATTTCAGTGAGAAATTAAAGTCACTAATAACAAACAGACAAATGAATAAGCACCACCTTCTCTTAGCTGGAGACTTCAACATCAACCTTGGCTTACTAGATGATCAGCCTGTAACTGATTTCATCAACAATATGAACAACACACTTCTCATACCAACAATAACTAAACCAACCAGGCTCACTGAGACAAGTGCAACCATAATAGACCACATATGGACCAATATACTAGCCCCCCCTAAAATCAGGGATAATCACAGATAGCACTACAGACCACTACCCTACCTTCCTCCTGACAAACATTAGTAAACCACCACTTGAATACAACAAAGTCTCATTTAGACTCCATGACGAGGCCTCAGTAAGGAAGTTCACAGCTGACCTAGAGACTGTTGACTGGCCTACAGAATTCTCCAAGGCCAATGGTATTGATGACTGGACAGACATTTTTCTTAACAAATTACTTAGACTATACAACAAACATTGTCCTATAAAAACAAAACAGATCGCAAACAAACAGCTTGGTTGCCCATGGCTAACCAGCACCATTCTGAAATCCATTGACAAGAAACACCAATATGAAAAGCAATATAGACAAGGCTTAATACACAAAGATATTCTTAAACACTATTCATCAGCTCTCACCAAAGTAATAAAGAAAGCCAAACAACTATACTACTCCAGTAGATTCACAGACACTAGAGGAGATACAAAAAAGACCTGGAAAACACTCTCTCAGATTCTAGGGACCCACAAACTGAGAAAAACCAGGAATATTGTCCTAACTAAACCTAATGAAACACCACTACATCCCACTGACACAGCTAACAAGATAAACGACTTCTTCTCAACCATAGGATCTAATCTCGCCAGTAAAATCCCACATACCAATGCCCATGCCAGGGACTACCTAGATGGGAATTTCCCTAATTCCTTCTATCTTGCACCAACTGAGCCCACGGAAGTCACCGAGATTATAAAGTCACTTAAAAATAACTCCGGGAATCTGTCTCATGTCCCACCATTACTGTACAAGCGAGCGGCCCATGTCCTTTCGCATGCTATTTCATTACTCTTTAACAAGTCACTAGAGACTACCACCTTCCCGAGACTACTCAAGATGGCAAGGGTTACACCAATACATAAAGGTGGTGACCCTACAGACTTAAACAACTATAGGCCAACATCTAACTTACCATTGCTATCCAAAATCTTTGAGAAACTCGTGCACAGGAGACTGTATTCATTTATAACGGCTCAAAACATACTCAACCCCTGCCAATTTGGATTCAGGAAAAATAAAAGCACTAATGATGCAATCATAAAAATGCTAGATCTGCTTTACACAGCATTGGAAAATAAGGAATATCCACTAGGAATTTTTATTCACCTAAGAAAAGCTTTTGACACAGTAGACCACGACATCCTACTCCACAAACTTGATCATTACGGTATAAGAGGCCATGCGCTTGCTTATTTCAAATCTTACATTACTAATAGGTATCAGTATGTCACCATTAAAGACACAGCATCAGCAGCACGGCCACTTGATACTGGAGTTCCGCAGGGAAGTGTCCTTGGTCCCCTGCTCTTCCTCATATACATCAGTGACCTTCCAAACGTATCCCAACACCTGAAACCCATTCTCTTTGCTGACGACACGACTTATGTCATCTCTCACCCTAATCTTGCCACCCTCAACACTACTGTGAATGAGGAGCTGATCAAAATATCGACTTGGATGACAGCCAATAAACTTATGCTTAACACTGACAAAACCTACTATATTATGTTTGGTAGCAAAGCAGGAGATGCACAAATTAACATTAAGATTGACAACACTCTAATTACCAGAAATAATGGGGGCAAATTCCTAGGCTTATACCTTGACAACAACCTGAATTTCAGCACCCATATCCAGCATATAACCAAAAAAGTATCCAAAACGGTTGGGATCCTCTCCAAGATATGATACTACGTGCCGCAAAATGCCCTTCTCACACTATACCACTCACTTATTTATCCATACCTCACCTATGCTATTTGTGCTTGGGGATCAACTGCAGCAACACACCTAAAGCCAATAATAACCCAACAAAAAGCTGCAGTAAGAATAATCACTAAATCCCATCCCTGGCAACACACCCCCCACTCTTCATAGACCTAAACTTACTCCCTGTTCAGTACATCCACACTTACTACTGTGCAATCTACATCTACAGGGCCTTAAACTCTATCAACCTTGACCTAAAACGCTTTCTTGATAGTTGTGACAGAACCCACAGGCATAACACCAGACACAAACATCTCTACAACATTCCCCGTGTCCGACTAAACCTTTACAAAAATTCAATGTATGTCAAAGGCCCTAAAATCTGGAATACCCTACCTGAGAACTCTAGAACTGCAGACACATTCATCACCTTCAAAACTACCATTAGAAAACATCTTATCTCCCTGATACACCCTGTCAACTAACTACACGAATACCACCTGGTGGTTCACACTTACACTCACTGACTCATTTGACCATAAACAGAAATATTAATCTCAATCTTAAAATAATGAATCCTGTGATACTCCAATACTGAAACTATGTACTGTGCCAAAACAAAAGCATTTACATTGCTAAACTCACAAACTAGTATTTAGTCACTTAGCCATAATACCAACTTACCTCATAATTTGTAATATTTTACAATTAAGAATAAAACTAAGTCTGCCCAAAATGCCTAGCCATGCTAAGCGTTCTAGTGGTACACTCTGTAATCACTATTTTACTACATGTAAACCACACAATAACCAAACCAAATTTCTGTAAACTCAGCATTGTAATCCTTATAGAGAATAAACTTTGAATTTTGAATTTTGAATTTCCATCAAAGGAGGTGCCTTGGTGTTAGTGAAGGACCCTTGATGCACGGAATGGTTCGATCCTCTGTCCGCCAATTGCCTTCAATAAGCAGCAAAGCATTTAAGACACAAACATAAGAAGGTGCTTTATTTCCTAAAACATGGGCCAAAGTAAACTCGGTATATAGATGTTGAGATACGCATCTCAATGTTCATACACCAAAATGCACACTTCTAAATGTATATTCACAGGGATACACATCTTTTTGCTTTATTATATATATATATATATATATATATATATATATATATATATATATATATATATATATATATATATATGGATTAAGATCACAGTAAACAGGTAATTTCAGAATATGCAAAACAACCACTGTGAAAGAATAATGAAATTCCAAGCACTTTCGTGACTACTCACATTATCAAGGAACAATAAAAGTAATGCATCAAAGGAAGGTATATAAAGGGTCTAGACCACACCTCACCATCACATCCCACAACAAAGCAACAACTGACGCGCGACTCGTAAGAAAGAGAACACTGCAACAGGCCAGCGGGGACAGCAGGCCTGCTGCAGTGTTAACTTTATATACCTTCCTTTGAAGCATTACTTGGTAATGTGAGTAATCACGAAAGTGTTTGGAATTTCATTATTCTTATGGTTTCAAACGGATTCGTTGGACAATAAAGCAGACTGTAAACGGATGGGGTTGTAGGCACCCTTATCAAACACAAACAATAAATATAAATCAGGAACGTACACGGTAAGCTGTCCAATATACAAGTACAGTTAGAAATAGAAATACAAATAGCTAGAGCTTCATTTAAGGAGGTTATTAATAGAATAT